AGCATTGATAGTCCAGAAATCCTTGTGAAAACTCAAACCCTAATTTTGGGTTATCAGTGCAAGATGAGATGTCTTAAGCTGACCAAACCCTAATCCATTCTTGAGTCAAAGAGATCTTGTGAGAAAAGTCTTGATAAATGAGAGGGAAAATTTTGGGGTACAACAGTTAGCTACTTGGTGGTTTTATATTTCCATACAAAACCCTAATTACTAGTATTTATATGAAAGCAATAAATTGCGGAAAAAATAAATAAATATTCGACGCTATTACAATCATTAAGGGGATTGCAAGAAATTAAAGTCCTAATTATCTATTACAAACATATTGAAATAATGTACAAGAAATATAAAATGGACTTATTCTGTTTTTGTTAAGAGAAGAAAATAAGTTTTGTTTAAGAAAATATTTTTAGTCTTTTGGTTTTAAAAGAAGTAAAAATAAAGTATGTGAATATAAAAATGTTTTGGTATTTTTCTTATTGAAAATAGAGGTGATATTAAAAATAATAAAATAGAAAAGAATCACAATCAACGCACTGCTGAAATGGGAGAGAACTAAAGTTCTGACTCTGGTGCGCTGCAAGTCAGAAAGAAAATGTTAGCAGAAAAAGGGGACGGTGAGAAGTTCTGAGTCCGGGTACACTGAAGTTCTGAGGTTGCTGGGAACGAAGGAAAAGCCTAGAAGTTCTGATGTAACTGGAAGCCTAGAAATTCTAGTGTTACTAGAAGGTCAGAAGTTCTGGTTGTTGTGATATTCTGGATGTTGAGAGAGTTTGGAAGTTCTGATGTAGCTGGAAACCTAGAAGTTCTAGTGTCATTGGCCAGCTAAAAGTTCTGATAAAGGGTATGTGAGGTGTCAATGTTGTTGGGTAGGAATGTCTAGAAGTTCTAATCTAACCAATTGGGTAAAATGTAAGGAAATAATCATAAAAATGGTGTTTTTGGGGTTAGAACTCAGGACCCTTAACACTAACGTTTTATGCATGCGCTCTCTACCACTGAGGTGGCTATACATCCGGTATTAGAAACAAAAACATAAACATATAACACAAAGTAAGTTCTAATGATGAACTTCATCTCTTTCTCCATGCTAATCAGAACATCTGCAGCTTAGTCATTTCTCAACAAAACAAAAAATGCACACATCACAGTTATAGCAGTTATGGCAGGTTTCATCATGGCTTCAGAAACATATAGTATCAGAATTGTAAATCAGAAACAAGCATGTATATGCTAATACTAATTCTGAGTCCTAATCTCCTCAAGATGTTCTAAACTGAAATTCTCTCTACTTAGGCAAAAAATAACATGAAATCTATGAATATGTACAGAATCAGAGTCAAGATGTCTACATTGTATTTTTGAACATGCAAGCCTATCAATGCTTAAGCAATGAGATGAAAGTCAAAATAACTTACCTTGCTTCTGGAGATTGTTCTGAATTAGAGTCTGGTTCTGCCTGCAGTGGTGTTCTGGTCAGCTTTCTCCTGTGCTCAGAAGGCTGGAACAATCTTTAACTTGAGCTGTGAATGGCTGGAAAATTCTAGAACAACCAATAAGCAAAGTTCTGATTTTGAAATGGAAATTGGTGGAGATGGAAGTGCAGTCTGAAAACAGAAGTTAGGATGACTTCTAAATGCATATCAGAAACTATGTTGATGATTTGGTCGAGAAACACTTGAGGAAAATTGGAATTTGAATGCAAAATCAAAGACTAGCAGGTTTTGTATTTGGGCTGCAGCTTTAAGTTCTTGGGAGATTTTAGCAAGGTTCCAAGGATTTTATTTTCAATTTTTTTACCTCTTTACAGTTGCCAATGAATTTCAATTTATAGACAATGACTTTGTAGCTTGGAGAGATCAAAGGTACAACCATCATATGTTAGGGTGTTGCCTTGTTCTTGAAGCAAGTTTAAACAAGTATGGTGGTTAGGAGCTTTAGCCTCACTTAAGCTGGATTTGTAAGCAGGAGTTAAGGAAAAGTACCCTCATAAGTAAAAGAAAAGCATGTGCCCAGCATAAACTTGTACAAAAGTTTGCTTTTCAAGGACAACAATGGTACTTCCATGTCACACGTGGGGAAATCCTTTGGATAAAGATTCAAAAGTGGCTGTGAGCATTAAAAGATAATGAGATTTATCAAAATAGAAATCCTGCAATATGAGATTATGCATCATAGCTTAAGCTTGAGTCAGAAGTTCAGCATCAGCGTAACTTAGCATAAACATTCAACTTCTGATCTTTGAATCTCTTTGCTCCAACATGTTCTAAGTGAGTTCTCAGACTTTCTAGAAAGCTTGTGACACGCTTTGTAGACCCTTTTTGAATTACTCTTGCAAATTCTGATTGAACCTTCGTGAAAACTTGTCCAGAAGTTCTAGCCAAATGCTATTTTGGAAAGGTCCAGAATTTACTGAATGTTTCAATTTCATTGACGTGTCTTCGAAGATGTATAACTTGAAATCCCAGCATTTCTAGAAGAAGTCTTGTTCTGCAATGTTTTAGATATCATTGAGGTCTACAACTCTTGTGTTAGAATTTCTTCCAGAATCAACTTGTATCATGGTGAAAATATAGCCAGAAGTTCTGAATTTATCATATTTCCTAAACACTTAGAAAAATTTCTATGTATTTAGAATTTTGACTTTTTCAACATAATCTTGACTTTTGATTTTCTTAATGAAACAAACTTCATGTTCCAACATGTCTTAATGAAATATGATTCTTGGAACTTGATTTTGATCCAAAAGTCAAAGTTTGACTTTTTAGTGTGTAATTGACCATTTTGCCCTTGTGTCAATTACAAATCCAAGTTGATGTATTAGTGCTGCAAACTGGATGTCATGGGAGATCTTATGAGAATCTTTGAGAAATGAGAGGGTAAATTTCGGGGTACAATAGACGCCCACTTGGTTTTTTGCTAAACAGATAACATGGTAAGCAATATGCAACATCTTCGCATGATGGATATTCTAACCATGAGAGAAATATGCTAAACCAAGTGTGCTGAAACCTTCTTGGATGATCATCGTTACTAGACAAAGGATAACTTTCTAAATGAATTTGATATGGACCCCATTTTAGATAAGCTCTTTGTGGTGGATATTTCTAAATTGGAGGACGCTTTCCAAGATCGCGTTTCAAAGAATTTTCAAAATCATGATGCTCTTCAATTGTTGGATTCTCAAAACCATGATGCTCTTCAATTGTAGGGATTATAATTTCTTCATTTCTCTCCTTTCTTTCAATTTCATATGCTTTCTGCTTGAACAAAGAATCAATTTTCCTATGATTCATCTTTAGTTTTCCTATAATATCAATCCAAAAACCAATTTAGAGAACATAGAAATTAAAAGAGGAAAAATTACAAACTAAATGAGTCCATTTGTAGTTTACTTGAGAAAAAATTATAAACTAATTCTAAATCAAAATGAGACAAATTATAACCATTACAACTAATTCTAAGAGTATACTAACATAATGTATATTGTATACACATTACAACCATTAATTATAACTAATTGTTTACACTATTTAATTATTTTCATTCACTAATACAAACAGAAGAAATATATTGTATCAAAAAATTATAATCCATTTCAAACTGAAAAGTATATTGTATAAAAAAGACTTCACTTAGTAATAACTTGAAAATTACAACAAGAAGAACCACAAAGTCATATATATGTCCATTGTAGAAGAAGATAAGAATTATAAATTTTTGGAAGAAGAACACCCAAAAAAGTCCAACAAACAATCAATCTAAGATGAAGAAAAGAAAAATCCATGATTAATGAATAAAGCTTTTTACCTATTACTTGTTAGATGAATCAAAAATACAAGAAATCACTTTTAGCAGTTTCGATTCCGAGTGCGGCACTGTTTCGATTCTGACGCTAGCAGCGAATGAGAAAGATGAAAGTGTGAAAGTTTTTTAGCTTCTGATTCTGTGTTTGTTTTCTAACCTAATCCTAATTTCATATAAGAGTAGAAAATAAATTACGATTTTATATAAGGGATAGTTTTGTATTTTCCAGTATATAAATTTTTAAAAAATAAAAAATAAAAGAGTGACTGTGGCCTTCCCCTATCACCCAATTCCACCACTGTTTAAAAAACACAATGACACTATCAATTTATGTCGAATAACAAATTAAATTTTCACAAAAAATTCATGACATATAAAATACTATAAATAAAAGACAAAAAACTCTTCTCAACCACTCCACAAATATAAACAACTAGCGTAAACTTCGTAAATATGAGAGACAACAAAGACCCTATTAATGTATAATAGATCATTTATAAATAACTAGTCAATGATGACTTAAATTTTCTCACTCTCTCTCTCTAATTTTGTAATTAAATTTTATTAATTTATTTTTAATACTTCTTTTATTTAAATATATAAAAGCATTCTAGTTATTTAAATTGGTACCAGTTGTTAAATAATTAAATAATAATTTATAAAAATTAACATTGATAAAATATTTTAATATTTTAAATAGTTATATTAAACTACTAATATTTAAAATATTAATAAAATTAAATAAATAACAAAAAGAAGAAGAAAAAAATCTAATTATTACATTGACACATGTATCACAATAACCTTCAAAAACAATTGGCGGATATTTGTTTTAAAAAAAAGACAAATTATTTAAAAAGAGGATACATTGAGATTTATGGGAGAAAGAAGGTATTAAGGGAAAAAGTATGTGTCATTTTGGTAAAGAAATCCAGCTGAGCACGAGACTAACATGCAATGCAACTCCATCGCCGCAGCTGTAAATAAAACCCGACAATAACAATTTTGTCTTTTCTTTTGTCAATACCAATTTATGAACAAAAGAGGAAATACAAAAACCTAACTTTCACTGTTTCGTGCTTACTTACACACCTCATTCTCCTACTCTCTCTCTCTCTCTCTCTCTATAAAACCAAATTACAAGATCCATTTTTATCGCTCTCTCTTTCTCTCTCTATAACCATAACATAACCATGTCGTCGATGATCAAGTCTCTGGATATTCTCAAAACCCCTTCTTCAGTTAAAATCATCACTCTCACACTCTTCTCTATGACCCTTCTCATCTTTCTCATCACTCGCTATTCTCATACAACTACAATAACAACCATCTCTTCTTCTCTCACCTTCTTCTCCCCTTCTCCTCCTCCTCCTCCTCCTCCACCTGATTATCACCACCAACAACCACCACCTCCACCTCCACCTCCACGTCAACCTAAACCCTTCATTTTACCTCCGTTACCGCCGCTACACCGAATAGGTCTAATTGACCAAAATGGCGTCATGACAGACAATTTCACTGTCGGAAACGACGACTCACTGCTCAATTGGAATTGGAACAGCAGCAACAACAATGAATCAATTCTGGTGGGGAAGGAGGTTGATGTGGTGGTGAACAAGTATAAGATTTGTGATGATGTGAAAATGGTGGATTATATACCTTGTTTGGATAATGCTCAAGACATTGCCAAGCTTAATGCGAGTGAAAAAGGAGAAAAATATGAACGGCATTGTCCTGAACAAGAGAAGGCTTTCAATTGCATTGTTCCTAGGCCTAAAGGTTATAAGAAACATATTCTTTGGCCACAAAGTAGAGACCAGGTACTTTTTCGCCTTTTCACTCTCTCTTACTTTGCTTCTTAATATCAATATTTCAAAGTTTCTAAATTTGAGAATCTCTCATCATACTAGTTCTTTTGGGTCACTCTATTGACTTGTTGTGAGTAATGTGGTTGAGAATGTTCAGACTCAGTGATCATTTCTAAATTCGACAATTTAGGAACTATTTGTGATGATTCATCATCTTATTTGTTCTGTGAAGTTTGTTGTGTATATGATAAACTGGAGATTGTACTTGTAGTTTTTGTGTATGGTTACTTTAAGTTGTGCTGAGGCAAGAAAGGAACAATGCATTAGTGCCACAGGCCAGGTGTATTCTAGGACTTCGAAAAGCTGGATATGTGCCGGTATCCGTGTTTGTGTCTGAAACAGACATCGACATTTGTGATTATGTTTTATTTATTTATTTTTTAAAATTATTACTGGTGTCGATGTGTCAGTGTCGGTGTCATATTTCTGGTGTTTGTGCTCCATAGCTAGGAGTTTAATTTGTGATTTGCATGATCTATGGATAAAAGGGTTTGTGAGGTGTAAGGAAGAAATGGATTAGGAAGGGTAAGAAATGTGTTACGTGCAGAATCTGATTGCATAGTCAACTTGCTGCATTTTGATTTTAACGAACTTATAAAATTTATATTAGTGTGTATGCATTTCACATTAAAATTGCGGAATGTGATACTTTTCAATTGATTCAGACTTCAGACTCGGAAGAAAGGATTCGCTAACTTATATACAATGACAGATTTGGTTCAGTAATGTACCCCATCCACGTCTGGTTGAGGATAAAAGTGGCCAAAATTGGATATCAATAAAGAAGGATAAGTTTGTTTTTCCAGGAGGTGGAACACAGTTTATACACGGCGCAGACAAATACCTGGATCAGATTTCTGAGGTTAGTTTCTTATTCATTTTTGTTAAGATTGAGTTATAGATCTTATCCAAATTTGTGGCCTAGAGACTAAGAAGTTTTCGGGATTTGAATCTGTAGATGGTTCCTAACATTACATTTGGTTACAACACAAGAGTTGCATTGGATATTGGCTGTGGAGTGGCAAGTTTTGGTGCATTTTTGATGCAACGTAATGTGACCACTCTTTCAATAGCACCAAAAGATGTTCATGAAAACCAGATTCAGTTTGCTCTTGAGCGTGGCGTGCCTGCCCATGTAGCAGTATTTGCTACACATCGTTTGATGTACCCGAGCCAGGCATTTGACCTCATCCATTGTTCTAGATGCAGAATTAACTGGACTCGTGATGGTACTTCCTGTCTCTGCTTAAGCTTTTGTACCCCTCATTTCAAGCATCCAACATAATGAGTTGTAGTGTATATGAGATGACACATGGCGAATTTAAGAAAAGATGGATAAAACTAAAATCATGATTATGTTTAAAGACTCAAGTTCTTTGTACTGATATCCTGTTTTCATTTGCTTTCATGGAGATGGAATTCTGCTTCTTGAAGCAAACAGGCTTCTGAGAGCCGGTCGCTACTTTGTGTGGGCAGCGCAGCCTGTATACAAACATGAAGTGAGTCTTCAAGAACAATGGAAAGGTAACTAATTTTCGTATCAAATCACTGAAGCCTTGATATAGTGAGATATCAGCACTGAACGTGATCTTTGGATTTGTTATTACTTAACAGAAATGGAGAACTTGACAGCTAGCATGTGTTGGGAACTTGTACGGAAAGAGGGTTATATTGCTATATGGCGGAAACCTATTAATAACAGCTGCTACCTTAGTCGTAATATATCTGTGCGTCCTCCATTATGCAAGTCCAATGATGATGCAGATGATGTTTGGTATTGCCTCATATAAATGTTCAGTTCACCTAAATTAGCTATATTTCATTTGTAGTTTTCATGATTGCTAGCTTGAACTGGAAAACATTGTCTAATATGAGTCAAAGATGTTAGATTGATTGTTCAAATATTCAAATACGGATGTTTCTGATAACTATGAAACGTTTTGTAGGTATGTTGGTCTTAAGGCATGCATAACACAATTGCCTAATAATGGATATGGAGTGAATGTTACTAACTGGCCTTCACGCCTCCATCAACCACCAGACAGACTTCAAAGCATCAAAATGGATGCCGTTATATCCAGAAAGGAACTCTTTAGGGCCGAATCAAAATATTGGAATGAAATAATTGAGAGTTATGTTCATGCTTTCGGTTGGAAGAAGCTCAACTTAAGAAATGTAATGGACATGAGGGCAGGATTTGGAGGGTATGGTAGTTTGTTTTTTCTTGTTTCGGTTTTTGTTTTTGATTTCATTGTCTGTTATCAGTTGCAAAGCGATTATGGAACAATCATTGGCTTGGACTTTATTTACCTCCCGACTAAACTCTGGCTAAAAAGATTGACTAACCTTGCAGTTTTCTGTGTGAATTATGATGTAACTTTCAATTTGACAAATGCAGGTTTGCTGCAGCAATGCATGATCTCGAGATTGACTGTTGGGTTATGAATGTTGTTCCTATTAGTGGATTCAATACCTTGCCTGTTCTATACGACCGAGGGCTAATAGGAGTTATGCATGATTGGTAAGAGAAATTTGCTTATATTTTAGACAATTTGTTTCTATTGTCCGTAGACGAAGTGACAATAACCCTAGAAACATACGCACACACACAACTGTAAGTCTCAGGTTCGAAAGCAGGACAAAGTGTTCGGCATAATAATGAATAGGTTCTGCGATTGATACCATGATGTAACTGTTGGCGAATATATGATTCTTCATTATATCAATTTAGATGCTAAATGTTACCGCTTAATAACTAGAAACAGTGAATTTATCGCGATGCTGAATTTTATTCACTTTGACAGGTGTGAGCCATTTGATACATATCCAAGAACATATGATCTGCTAAATGCAGCCGGTCTATTCTCTGTTGAAAAAAAGAGGTTAATCATGATTCTAACTTCCAAGCTTCACATTTCTCTAGAAGCGCAAATAGCACAAGCAATTCTGTGTTTGGTAAATGATTATGATTAAATTTTCAGGCAAAAGTGTAACATTTCAACCATCATGCTCGAGATGGATCGCATGCTTAGACCAGGTGGTTATGTATATATACGCGACTCGGTGGATGTCATTAGTGAACTTAAACAAATTGCGAAAGCAGTTGGATGGGTTACTGTCCAGGATGATGTGGGAGAGGGCCCATATGCAAGTTGGAAGATATTAAGGTGTGAGAAGCACTTCTGAAGCCGCTAACGACTGCTCGGTCTATCTGGTGAGCTCTGGGGTCCAACTGGTTTAAACTTGAATTCATTATAAAAAGTGCTTCTAAATTGTAGAGTAACAGGGAGATTCATATATTTGTTCATGCAAAAAGAAATTTGAAGAGCTAGTTCTATACTTCATACCATTCTAGAAGAGTTTATACAAATACTTAAATGGTGAAATGTGTGATGAAATGAAATGTGTACAATCATTTTTATATCATGTCCATACAAATTAAATTCTTCAGTGTACCTGAGATGCTAAGATGACACTTTTGTATTATATTTCCCTTCCTCTTTTAAATTTAGCCATAGAATTGGGGCGTGATACAAAAACAAATGAATTGTGTGTGCATGGAGTGTGTCCGGAAATACATTTTCGGAATCAGAGAGGTATTTTCAGATTTTTCATAAGATGCTTTTCCGTCTCTTAGAGTGAGATAAGTAATTCCCCGAGTTTTCTCCATCTTAGCAACATGGCCATAGTGATGATTATTTACAGGGAATTGCTAAAGGCAGCCTATAGATTGCCACAACATCCTCGTGAAAAACCAAAAATACTTTAGATTTTAGAGATACATTTGCGAACGCATCCAAAATTTCACCAACAAAAATGTCACAGGTGAGACACCTTTATTTTGACTAAAAAAATTCGAAGATGTATCTCCAGATAGGGTTCTGGTTTATGTGTATCCAATGAAGATGTATAAAAGCAGACTCATCCACAAAAGATCTAAGCATAGAATTACAGTGTTCATCAAATGCATCTCTTGAGTATATCTCCCAATTGGCCCCAGCAATTTCCCCTTCTTACTAAATAATTCATTTAAACAAAAAACTGTAGCACAAAAACATTTGATTATTTTTAATTTCTTGACAATAAATACTTTAATTAATGTGTCAACAAATTAAAAAAAACACATCTAACTCGAATAAAACAATCTACATAATCCAATTTTTTAAGTATTATATGCATTTTGTTTTATAAGTTTAATATAAAAGTAATTGATACATATTGTAACATAAATTTAAATAATTTTATAAAGTAAAAATGAAATTTAATTTTAAATGTATACTAATATCTATTTTGGTAATTATGTATCTAAAATCATTTTTTTTTTTGTTTTTCAAAATTAATATCTGGTCTATTAGATCGACAAATCCGGTTTGAAGGCCAATTCTGATTAGGGGTGTTCAAAACCAAATCGATCCAATAGAAAATCGTAAAATCGAATCAAATCGAAATTGTAAAAATTCGTATTTGATTCGGATGTGTTTGAGTTATTTTTTAACGAAATTGTGCGGTTTGGTTTACGGTTTGTATTTTACAAATCGAATCAAACTAAATCAAACCGCATTATATTATAAAATCTTACTAACCAATATATATTTCTTTAATTCTCTAGAGAAATCAACATCTATTATGTGTATATTTTATCATATTCTTTATATGATATTTATTTTAATTTATAAATCATAAAAAATAAAATATTATTTATTTATAAATGTTTTTTCCACAAAATATATTTATTTTGACATGAATTACCGAATTTTCAGAAATTCAGTAAAAATATATCAGATTTTTGAAAATTCAATAAAAACTTGCATTAAAATTTTAACAATACGGTTAGAATGTAAAATTTTGCTAACTATTGAATTTTTTAAATGTATTACAAGATTTTTTTTGATTTTGCTGCTTTTATTTATTTTAAATTTTTTTGACCAGATTTTACTTTAAAATGAAATAAATAATGAGAATGCCATTTTTGTTAATATGAAAAATAAGTGTCAGAAATGACTGGAGTTCACATGTTGTATTTAAAATAAAAAAATAAATTTTTGAAATTTTTTCTGAATTCTTATGATTTTGTGATACGAAGCATAATTTTTTTAAAACATAAATCAAATGAAACACATTTTACAATATCAAATAAAATTCAATAGTTATAACATAAAACATAAAGTGAGCACCCCTCACTTTATCAAATTTTAATTTGAAGATGCATATTCGAATGTGTTTAAGGGTTTGTTCGTAGATACATTTTTGAATATATTTAAAGGTTTATTCGCAAATGCATTTTTGAATTAACCTTTGTTTTTAAATTAAGGAAATTATTTAGAGATGCATCTCCGAAAGTTTTTAATCTATATATAATGCGCGCACACTCTCCCTCTTCTCCTTCTTTATTTTGTGATTGAATTTTTCTCCATTGGAGCTCGTGAGCAATATTATTGTAGTCCATTTTTGAAGCAACCCGAGAATCTTTACTTCAATTTTAGCAATCTCAACTCACTCCACAATCTACATTGAACATTATTCATCCTTATCAACACTTATTTGAATAAGTTTTTCATTTAACTTATTTTGATTTTTGATTAATGTAATAGGTTAAATAGTTACTTTTAATGCATTAGGTAGTATTAGAATTCGAAATAGGTAATGTTACAGACATGCACTACAATTTTGATGTATTTTGGATTGTTAGAGTAAGAACAAGAACTGATTCTACCATTTAATCAGAAGATGTAGCTTTTTCGGAGATGCATATCCGAAACTTGTCCTTTATGGTTTTCAGAGATGCATATCTTAATTTGGTCCTTTACATAATTTGCTTTATATGGTCTTTTATGGTTTTCAAACTAATGTGTTTGTTCGATTTTTTTCCAAGAGAATGGCTGGAAACAACGACAGAATGAGTGCCATGAAACTCTAACCGCGTCCACTTTGCCGCGAGATGGATGTTCAATATGAGCATGTCGGAGCTATGTAGGAAACCGTCCCACCCAGGCCTCACGACAGGGAAGCGTCCTCTTCTACGAGCCGCCTATCACATAGGTCATCATCCCAAGCTCACATACACTAGGAGAAAGCCCCTACTGCATATGATGACACCCCCCACTTGTAGACCCTTATTCAGTAGAGCCTATTGACACCTCATTACTGTTATATTATGGATACCATATTGTTCCACATGTCTAAGCCGAAGAGGTATATTTGCTAACAGTTTTTATTTTGTTGTTTTAACCAAATTCAATGACTGATATTTATTATATATATTTTTAACAGGAAATAAGTGTTTGAAATTTGTTAACCATGACTAAAAGATTCATTGTCTTTTTCAGCCTAAGGTGAGTGGTTCCAAAGTAGTTCTAAGATGCTTCGGTCTTGCCGGTCTGTGTTCTTCCAGGTACGCAACCATCAACCATGGCATGCAGGGGAATTT